TGTGTTTGTGTTTGCGTTGTTTCCCAGTCCTGGGGCTCACTTCCTTTGCTCCCTTTGCTCAAGGCTAGCATCTTCCACTTTGAGCCACAGCACTACTACTGACTTTTTGTTTATGTGATACTAAGGAATCAAACCCAGGGCTTGATGCATGCTAGGCAAGCACTCTTACCACTAAGCCACATTCCCAGCCCACATTCTCAGCCCCCCTTGTATAGTTTTTTTTTACTTTTATTTTTATTTTTTGTGAACACACTGTACAGAGGGGTTACAATTACATGGGCAGGTTAATGCGTACATTTCTTATCAAGCATTGCAGCCTCTTCCTTTGTTTACCCTTCCCATCCCTTCCCAGCCTCCCCCCCACCCCCCCACCCAATCCTCCCCGCTTTCCTCCCCCCCATTGTATAGTTTTAATAGAACAGCAAGAAGCTACCTTTCAGATTCTACAGCTCTGTGTTTTAACAATATGCAAAACTTAATTAACTAAGGGTTTGCTGTATTTTATTTTGAAACTGCAAATCTGAAAAGTGAGTTGTTTGATATTAACTTTTGGTACTTTATAATTCAGGGCGGAGGCAGTAACCAAAGACTCTTGATTAAGTCAGGATCCATTTCCATGTTAGTTTTGTCTATAGTTCTTAACTTGGGAGTTGCTGTTGTGTGTTCTCCAAAATACTTTATTTTCTAGAAAATGAATTAGAGCAACAGTGTATAATGAATAGCTTTTTCTACACATTTATAATCATGAAACTACTTTTTAAGTCTATGCAACTGCAGTTATTCATAACCTATAGGAATGTCAATGAATATTTGGTCAGTAACATCTCTGACCCAGCAAAGGGAGAGCAATACTGTTCCTTGGCTGAAAATACTCTTTATTGACTTAAAGTTTAGAACAGAAGGTTTTTGAATGTAAAATTAATTTATTTCCTGTAGTGGCAGTTTGTAGTTTGAAATGGAGGCAAAGTAATGTCAGGTGCAGGTGTGTGAGCACTCCTGAGGATTGTACAGCATTAACATGTGTAGAATAGAAAGGAAGATCCCTCTTGTCTAGAGGCATAACTGATCAAGGAGGAAATAATAGTAAATACAGTACCAAGAGTACATTATGGAAAAGATTACAGAGTACAAAGTTAAAATAATGTTCAGAGACGTATGGAGAAGTATGCCATTGGGGGCTGGAGTGATCAGGAAAGGCACACTACGTAGAACTTGAGAAAATAAGATGAGACTATGTGAACAGAAGAGGGATTGCACTAGTCTAAATGAGTTCTAGAAGAAGTAGGGGTGAATATAACAGGGTTGGTAGGAGTCTTTTGGTCTTGATAACAAATCCTGGACTTTAATTATTTACTAGCTGTTTATAACCTGAGTTGGTTCTTCCTGTATAAAATTGGGTCAGCTAGAGTTCTTACAGTGTTTGGGTGTATCAAGTATAGAACACTTAGCACACTACTTGGCATATGAAAGCTCTGTAATGAAATCTGTGAGACAAGGGAGCTTGACCTACTTGGATGAAAGGTGTGGATGCAGACTGTGTGCAAATTTTGGAAAGTTCCTGGGAAGGAGTAATTGACAATTAAAAAAAAAATACGCTCACACTTGTTCATGTCAAAAATCTGAGAGTAGCTGAGTGCAAGTGGTTCACATCTGCAATCCCAGCTGCTCAGGAGGATGAGATCTGAGGACTGTGCCAGCCCGGGCACAGAACTTCTTGAGATTCTTTGGTGTGTGCGTGCGTGCGTGCGTGCGTGCGTGCGTGCGTGCGTGCGTGCGTGCGTGCGTGCGTGCGTCTGGTCGTGGGGCCTGGACGCTGTCCCTCAGCTCTTCAGCTCAAGGCTAGTGCTCTACCACTTGAACCACAGCGCCACTTCCGGCTTTTTTCTTTTTGCTTATGTGGTGCTGAGGAATCAAACCCAGGGCCTCATGCATGCAAGGAAAGCGCTCTACCACTGAGCCACCTTCCCAGCCCCCCTTGAGATTCTTTTTTTTTTTTTTTGGGTCCAGTCGTGGGGCCTGAACTCTGGGCCTGGGCGCTGTCCCTCAGCTCTTCAGCTCAAGGCTAGCACTCTACCACTTGAGCCACAGCGCCACTTCAGGCTTTTTTCTTTTTTTGCTTATGTGGTGCTGAGGAATTGAACCCAGGGCCTCATGCATGCAAGGCAAGCACTCTACCACTGAGCCACCTTCCCAACTCCCAATGTATCATTATTTGCTCTCCATTGTACCTGGCTTTCAAATTTTTTTTTTTCTTTTGGGTCCGGTCGTGGGGCCTGAATTATGGGCCTGGGCACTGTCCCTCAGCTGTTCAGCCCAAGGCTAGCGCTCTACCACTTGAGCCACAGTGCAACTTCCGGCTTTTTTCTTTTTGCTTATGTGGTGCTGTGGAATCAAACCCAGGGCCTCAGGCATGCAAGGTAAGTGCTCTACCACTGAGCCACCTTCCCAGTGCCTTGAGATCCTTTATATCTAATAAACTACCAAAAAGCTGGGAATGGAGCTGTGGCCCAAGTAGTAGAGCAAAAGCCTTGAGAAAAAAAAAAGCTTAGGGACAGTGCCCAGGCCCTGAAGTTCTAGGGCTGCTCCCACATACCTGGCCCGCAAACCCAGAGTATTTTGAGAAGTATATTTGCATGGAGTACCTCAATTTAGGTATTTCAGTTCTCTTGTTTTAGAATTTACTGGGCATACTAAGATTGAAGAGGAATATTTACTTAAATGCCAATAGTAGCCACTTACAGTGTGGAGGGACAGTATAATTTCAGGTATTCTTTAAATTGTATTTTTTTTCTTACATTGAACTTGTATCAGACTACAATTTAGTACTAGTTCTAACATTTAACTTAATATTTTTGGACTTCTCAGTAAAATATTAGGGTTATTTTTTAAACATGAATTTTTAGTTTCAAAACAATTTAGTGTTTTACCTATTGACTTAATTCAACAAATTAATCCTTCTTATTTTCCAGTTGTCTTTTTTTTCAGTCCTGAAGATTGAATCCAGAGTTACATGCTTGCTAGACAAGTGCCCTTAATACCTTAGCAATACAGTGAAATCATTATTTTGTTTTTGAGTTTCCCTAACTTTGCCCCTGCCTGGCTTCAAACTGCCGGGCTTCAAATTTGTGGTCCTGCTTGCCTCTATGTCCTAGTATGTAAGATTACAAGCATGCTTCATAGTTGTTGTTGTTTTGTTTGTTTTTTGTTTTTTATACCTGTCCTAGGGCTTGAACTCAGGTTATGGGCACTGTCCCTGAGCTTTTTTGCTCAAGGCTGGTGCTTTGCCACTTAGGCCACTTCTGGCTTTTTTGATGGTTAATTGGAGATAAGAATCTTATGGACTTTTTCTGCCAGAATTGACTTTCAACTGCAATCCTCAGACCTCAGCCTCCTGAATAGCTAGGATTACTGGAGTGAGCCACTGGCAGCTGGCCTTTTTTTTTTTGTTTTTTTGTTTTTTTTGGGTCCAGTCGTGGGGCCTGAACTCTGGGCCTGGGCGCTGTCCCTCCGCTCTTCAGCTCAAGGCTAGTGCTCTACCACTTGAGCCACAGCGCCACTTCCGGCTTTTTTCTTTTTGCTTATGTGGTGCTGAGGAATTGAACGCAGGGCCTCAGGCATGCAAGGCAAGCACTCTACCACTGAGCCACCTTCCCAGCCCCAGCTGGCCTTTTTTTGAGACTGGGTCTAACTATATAACTCAGGCTGTCCTGGAACTTGTTTTGTAGCCTCCAACTTAACTCCAGCCTGTTCTCCTCCTGCCTCATAGTCTCCCAAGAATTATAGGTATTGCCACCATATCTCAAAGTGGATATCTTTTTTTCATTAATTATTGGGACTTGAATCTAGGGCTTTGGACATGCGAGCCAGACATTCTGCTACTGAGCTTTCTGTGTGTGTATGTATGTGTGTATACGTACGTGTGTGTACACATTTGAACTCAGGTCTTGGACACTGTCCCTTAGCCTTTTTGCTTAAGGCTGGCGCTCTGCTTCTTGAACATACCTCCACTTCTGGATTTTTTGCTGGTTAATATGAGATAAGAGTCTCACAGTTTCCTGCTCAAACTGGCTTTGAATCATGATGGTTATCACATTTCAACCTTCTGAGTAGCTAGGATTATAGGTCAGAACCACCAACGGCTAGCCATGGGCCATCTTAAAAACAATAGCACCTAATTGGTATCAGTCACTTGTAATCCTAACTACTCAGGAGAATGAGACCTAAGGATCACGGTTCAAAGCTAGCCTGGGCAGGAAAGTCTGTAACACTCTTATCCCCAGTTAACCACCAGAAAGACAGAAGTGGCACTAAGGCTTAAAGTGGCAGAGTGCTGTCCTTGAACGAAAAAGTTCAGGAACAGTACTTAGTTCCCAAATTCAATGACCAAAAATAAAACAAATCAACAACTAATTGATTGATGGGTAAGTATTGTTTTATAGTGGGATTTTGAATGTTAATCTTAAAGAATTAGGATGGTAGACCTGGCTTGTCCACTTCTGTGGTATTCTAGGCAATTTCTATCACATTAGACTTATCCTTATTTTTAGACTGTAAGATTCAGTCTAGTTTTTGTTGTTGTGGTTGGTTGTGGGGCTTGAATTCAGGGCCTGGGTCTTGTCCCTGAGTTCTTTTTGCTCAAGGCTAGCACTCTACCACTTTGGGCCACAGCTCCACTTTTTTTGGTGGTTAATTGGAGATAAGATTCTCACACTTTCCTGCCCAGGCTGGCTTTGAACCATGATCCTCAGATCTCAGCCTCCTGAGAGGCTAAGATTATAGACATGAGCCACCAGTGCCTGGCTGATAGGACTCATTCTAACAGCCCATTCCATGAACAGTTTAACTCAATAGAAAGGTCAAAATCATAGACATATTGTGTACCATTACAATGTAGTTTTTAGAAAATTAATAAATCTTGCCTGCAGTGTTTTTTTCTACAGTGGTTTTGAATGTAATATTAAAATTAAAGTTGATTCTTAAATTTATGCTTTATCTTCTAGGGCTTGCATTTCTTTTGGTCCTAAGAATCGGTCTATTGGAGCAGCAGCTAAGAGCCAGGTAGAGTTTTGATTTTTTTTTTTTTCCTAAATTGACTTATTTCTCTGGTTCCTCTGTTCTTTATCAGCTTTGTGTAGTACTGGTAGACCTTACGTGTAAGCTGACAGAGACAGTCCTGAACCATGTTTTCATGGAGTGAGAAGTAAAGAGCTTTGAACTAGCAACAGCAGTACAATATGTTTAATGAAAACTTCTGGTATTTTTTCCACTCTTGTTTCTTTGGGAATGGGGAAAAGATATAGTCTCACAGTATAGCCCAGATCCTTTTACCTCAGTAGTAAGAGTGGGATCCAGAGTGTTGGGATTATAGACAAGTATTATCCCAACAAGCCAAAGATCAAAACAAAGCAAGGTCAGGCAAAGAAAAGCTGCTTTGATCTTGATATTTGAAATGTTCCCTGATGTCTGTTTTGTTGGGCCTTTCATCTTATTCTTAAGTTCATTACTGATCTTTGTTATTCAAGTTTTTTGAAGGATATTTAGGGACTTGTTATTAGTTTTCTTTGCAAACCAAGAACTTGAGGTATGTGCTGGTTTTTGAGTAAGTATGGCATCAAAACCCCAAGAATTTTGTTCAACCTTGGGCTGGGAAGGTGGCTCATTGGTGGAGCGCTTGCCTTGCATGCCTGAGGCCCTGGGTTCGATTCCTCAGCACCACATAAGCAAAAAGAAAAAAGCCGGAAGTGGCTCTGTGGCTCAAGTGGTAGAGTGCTAGCCTTGAGCTGAAGAGCTGAGGGACAGCGCCCAGGCCCAGAGTTCAGGCCCCATGACCGGACCCAAAAAAAAAAAAAAAAAAAAAAAGAATTTTGTTCAACCAAATATCGAAGGTGGGGCTGGGAAGGTGGCTCAGTGGTAGAGCACTTGCCTTGCATGCATGAGGCCCTGGGTTCGATTCCTCAGCAACACATAAGCAAAAAGAAGAAAGCCAGAGGTGGCACTGTGGCTCAAGTGGTAGAGCGCCAGCCTTGAGCTGAAGAGCTGAGGGACAGCACCCAGGCCCAGAGTTCAGGCCCCACGACTGGACCCAAAAATAAAAAAAAAAAAATAAAAAAAACATCGAAGATGTCCATAAAATTAAAGAGTTGTATGTTTAACCTTGTGGTTCAGACTGGTACCAGTTGTCTTGGGACCAGGTAAAACCTAATCTAGGGAAAAGGTGCTCAGTCAGTTTTTTTTATTTTTTGTTGGTTGTGGGGCTTGGACTTTGGGTCTGAACGCTGTCCCTCAGCTCTTCAGCTCAAGGTGAGCACTCTCCCACTTGAGCCACAGCACCACTTCTGTTTTTTTGTAGTTCACTGGAAATAAGAGTTTCACAGACTTTCCTGCCTGGGCTAGCTTTGAACCGTGATCCTCAGATCTCAGCCTCCTGAGTAGCTAGGATTACAGGCGTGAGCCCCCAGCATCCAGCTTGATCAGATGTTTTTTAATTGAATTGGGTATTTGATTTTTCTCTGTTGTTGATTGGTAGTGAGTATTGAAGTCAGGGTTTCATTGTGTTAGGCTGTCATCTGAGCTACACCTCTAACTCTTTGGTTGTTGTTGTTTACCCACTGTGGCTTGAACTCAGGGCTTTTCACTTTTGCTTGGCTTTTTCACTCAAGGAGGGTACTCTGCCACTTGAGCCACACCTCCATTTCCAGCTTTTTGAATCTCATGGACTTTTCTGTTTAGGTTAGTTTTAAACCTCAATCCTCAGATTTTAGTCTTCTGATCAGCTAGGATTATAGGCCTGAGCCACTGGCACTGAACTTTAACTTTAATTTCTGAATTGATGAACTTGTTTCTAGAAAGTTTGAGCCATAAACTAGGCAATACTTGAAAGCTAATAGTCATTCATATGTGTTAGAAATTTAAGAACAGACTCCCCCTCTCCCCCCAGTGGGCTTGAACTCAGAGCCTGGGTCCTGTCCCTGAGCTCTTTTGCTCTAGGCGAGCACTTTTACTCCTTTGAGCCACAGAACCACTTCCAGTTTTTGTGGGGTTAATTAGAGAAGTAACTGAAACCTGTTAAACTAAAATGCTTTTTACTTTAAAGTTGTTAAAAATTTTTTTTTAAAGTCTTTTATTCTGATATTCTTTCCCTTAGGTAATTTCCAATGCAAAGAACACAGTCCAAGGATTTAAAAGATTCCATGGGCGAGCATTCTCTGATCCTTTTGTGGAAGCAGAAAAATCAAACCTTGCATATGATATTGTGCAATTGTCCACTGGATTAACGGGTATAAAGGTGAGATTCTCAAGATAATGTCTTATGATTAAACAGCAGTATTTACTAGCAGTAAAGGTATACAGCAGCATCTTTATGATACAAACTGTAAATACTAAACAGAAAAACTTCTGCTTGTAAAGACTAGATTTTGCTTTTGGTATTGGAGTTTTAACTCAGGGCTTAGGGGTTTGCACTTGTTAGCATGTACTTCTTGAACCCTTTTTTGCTTTGGTTTATCTTTCAGATAGCCTTGGACCATTATCCTCCTTTCTCCTAACAGATGATAGGAGTAGGCTACCAGGCCCAGCTTGGTTTTTGAGGTGGAGTCTTGATAACTTTTCCTCTGGGCCTGTATGAAAATAAGCAAGGTCCTTGTATCTCCACCTTTAAAAAATTGTGTGTGTGTGTGTGTGTGTGTGTGTGTGTGTATATATATATATATATATATATATATATATGTATATGTATATATATGTGCTTTTATACACACACATATAAACTCTTCAGGTCATTATACAAAGTAGTTGCCATTCAACAGAGCAGTTTATGGACAGTGCATCCTGATCAGTGTCACCCCTTTCAACATTCTCACCCATTCCTCCCAACCTACCTGTTTTCTTAAGCAGGATATGCATTGAATTTTTGTTTTGTTGTTGTTGTTGGTTGTGGGGCTTGAACTCAAGGCCTGGACACTGCCCCTCAGCCTCTTTGTGCTCAAGGCTAGTGCTGTACCACTTGAGCCACAGGGCCACTTCTGGCTTTTTCTGTGTATGTGGTGCTGAGGAATTGAACCCAGGGCCTCATGCATGCAAGACAAGCATTCTACCACTGAGCCACCTTCCCAGCCTCCGCTTCTGGTTTTTGAGTGGTTCAATGGAGATAAGAGTCTCTGGGATTTTTCTGCCCAGGCTGGCTTCGAACTGTGATCCTCAGGTCTCTGTGTCCTTAGTAGTTAGGATTACAGGTGTGAGCCACTGGTTTCCAGCTTGAATTTTTGACTGCATTCACCACTTCACCTTTTCAGTAGATGGTATTACAGGATTGTACCACTATGCTTGACCACCTAGCCATGATATGGATGGTGTGTGGGAGCTATTGGTGGTGCTGTTATATGCATTGTAGCCTAGAGTGTGAGTGTTTGAAGTTGACATTGCTGTTGGTGGGGCAGCCACTTTTCTAGTGTGTTTAGGGAATGACTGGCAGAGCAAGTGTAAAGAATCCTGACTTTCAAGTCATGAGCCAGGTAAGGTTATGTTTTTGGTGATGGGTAGATTGGAAAGAGGTTTGTTCTTTTGGGGAAGAGTGAATTTAGTCTTTAATGTTGACATCTCGAGAAATCTCACTGTGAAGAAATAGCAAACTGATCACACAAAAGGGGTGAGAGACTAGAAGGTAGGTAGGATAAGACACAACTGCCTGTTTTATTCAGAGATAATAAAAGTAATTCAGAAGCGTGTGTGAACTTTTTAGGCCAGGCGAGTTTATAGAGGGATTTGGTATTTGAAACATCCCACTTTTAGATGTAACCATAAGTACAGTCTTAAAAAACAGCAGATATTAATGAAATACAAGAACAAATCAAGGTACTAGTGACTATATAGCTGAGAAGTTATTTGAATTTAGAAAGGAAAAATTCTGTAACTTAAAAAGTGATCACAAGTTTACTTAAGGTACAGTTGGCATTTATCTCTGAACAGTTCAAATGGTATACTAAGGGATGAAGCTAGAGTGCACAAGAGAGAAAGAGGTGAAGAGGTGGTAAATAAGAAATAGAATGGATGTTTGCAGATGAAGTCAGCACAGCAGGAAGCAAAGTGAGACTGGGAGGAGTATCTGGGGAAGCAGTAGGTACTAGTACAGAGGGAAGGAACTGACTAAGAGTTAAGCAAATAGGGGTTGGGAAGGTCAGTGGTAGAGCGCCTGCCTTGCATGCATGAGGCCCTGGGTTCGATTCCTCAACACCATAAGCAAAAAGAAAAAAGCCGGAAGTGGCGCTGGGGCTCAAGTGGTAGAGTGCTAGCCTTGAGCTGAAGAGTTGAGGGACAGCGCCCAGGCCCAGAGTTCAGGCCCCAAGACCGGACCAAAAAAAAAAAAAGAATTAAGCAGGTAGAATGGGTACAGTTTAAAAGTTGCAGTGAAAGCAGCATCTTCATCCTCCCAAACTTTAGTATGAAATGTAATATATTGTTAAATGCTAAGCTATGATCAGTTATTATTGACTGGAGTGAGGAGAAGGTGCACTCTTTCTGAGTTGGGGTAGTTGCTAAAAGAAGAGAGCAACATTTTCTTTGCTGGGTGGCATTTCTGGAATAAGGGCATGTGAGATGGATTATTTTAGGCACTCTTTCATCATTTAACCTTTATAACTCTTACCAAGGTTTCAGACTTTCATCCGGGTCAACAAGTATTTATTGTGAGCATCTAAGTGGTATTATGGTAAGTTAGACAAAAATACTGCTTAGATTAGATTATATTGGGAGATGAATAATATAGTAAACACAGTAAGTCAGACACGTGTCAGGATGTAAAATAGGGTGGAGTGGTTCATAGTTATACTAGTTTGCTTCTGTGTAGGTAACTGTCTTAGAGTATTAGGATTAGAAAGCTTGTTAAAAAGCCAAAGGTAACCTTCAAGTAAATATTGCTTACAAATAGCTTTATTCAGTTCCCTCTTACAATCTTACACTGATGATTTGCAAGGCATTGTTTACTTTAGGTATTAGGATTAGGTCATGACAAAGTATCATAAGTCTGGATTCTTTTCACTTGTATTTTTGCAGGTTACTTATATGGAAGAGGAGCGAAGTTTTACCACTGAGCAAGTGACGGCCATGCTTTTGTCCAAACTGAAGGAGACAGCAGAAAGTGTTCTTAAGAAGCCTGTTGTGGATTGTGTTGTTTCGGTGAGTTTGGTCACTACGTGGTTACAGAAGCAAAGAAGAAATGTGTTAATTGCAAGTAAAATTGTTTTTATCTCAGGCTGTAATAGTTATTTTAAGACTTTTCCGAGCCAGGTACTGCTGGCTCATGCCTGTAATTCTAGTCTGAGATCTGCCAGTGATGCTTCAAAGCCAGGCTAAACAGAATAATCTGCGAGACTGAAGTAACCATCAGAAAGCTGGAAGTTGCTCAGTGAGGTTTAAAGCCAGTGTGGGCAGGAAAGTCCACGAGACTTAATCCCCAGCTAACTGCCAAAAAGCTGGAAGTGAAGCTGTGGTTGTGTGGTGGGCTGCTAGTCTTGAGCAAAAAAGCTTTATTGGGATAGTACCAGGCCCTGAGTTCAAGCCAGCATGGGAAAGAGAGTCCATGAGACTCCTAGCACCCAGGCACTAGGTTCAAGCCCCAGGACTGGCACATACATACAAAATAGCTGGAGATGTAGGTGTAGCTAAAGAGGTACAGTGTCAGCTGTGTGAAAAAGCCAAATGAGAGCATGAGACTCAAGTTCAACCTGAAGTACCAGTACCTCCCTCCCAAATTCTCCAAAGTAATAATCTCTTTCTCTCTCTCTCTGTCCTCCCTCCTCCCTCCTCTCTTCTCTCTTCTCTCCTCTCTGTCCTCTCCCTCTCGTCATTGGGAGTTAAACCCAGGTCCTTGACTTGCTTTAATTTTTTTTTTTTTTTTGGGTCCGGTCGTGGGGCCTGAACTCTGGACCTGGGCGCTGTCTCTCAGCTCTTCAGCTCAGGGCTAACACTACCACTTGAGCCACAGCGCCACTTCCGGCTTTTTTCTTTTTGCTTATGTGGTGCTGAGGAATCGAACCCAGGGCCTCAGGTATGCAAGGCAAGCGCTCTACCACTGAGCCACCTTCCCAGCCCCTTGACTTGCTTTAAATATGCTGTCTTTTTTTCCTGTTTGCTATATATATCTCTAGTACTAAAAACAAGATAGCAGTAGATTTTGTTTTGTCTTTTCCATATCCGTTTAGTTGGAAGCCTAGCTATATGTAGGTTTGTGCTTAAAGTGCAGTGGAATCTTTAGAGGCTGTTGAAATATGGATGGCTAGATTGGCTTTGCTGCTGAGTCCTATGTCTCCATTGTTTTCTGGTACTTTATCTGTGGGGCCTCTTTTGCCTTAAGTTGGTATGTTGATTGGCAAATAGGACTGTTTGGCTTTTTTACCCTTGCTAATTTGGTCGAGTCACCAGCACTTGGCAGTAATAATTGATATTAGCTGTGTACCACATTTTGTGGAAGCAAAGAATAAAAATACTGCACTAGAAGCAGATTCAATAACGCTGATGCCTTCAGTGGCTGGTTGATGCAGTAGGTCCTCTGTTAGGTGCTTCCTACCCCTCTTCAGGTTTCCACAAGTCTCCCAGATTTGATCCTATTTCTCCATTTAGTGCATTAGCTTTGATCCTGAGTTATGCAGAAGAAAAATTTATGTAGAATAGTGAAATAACTCAGCTTTTTCCAGTTATGGGATCAAATTAAAAGGTGATATGCCAGATTGGGAAATGTGGCTTAGTGGTAGAGTGCTTGCCTAGCATGCATAATGCCCTGGGTTTAATTCCTTAGTACCACATAAACAGAAAAAGTGGGAAGCGGCGCTGTAGCTCAAGTGATAGAGTGCTAGTCTTGAGCAAAAGAAGCTCATAGACAGTGCCCAGGCCCTGAGTTCAAGCCCCAGGACTGGCAAAAAAAAAAAAAAAGGATAATATGCCAGGTCCTGAAGACTATACTGAATTGTAGCCATTTGCTAGAGGAATCACAGGATTCAGCATATAGATGAGCTATAGCTGAATTTTATTTATAGTGAAAGCACAATATAAAATTAACAAAAGGAAAAGGTAATATGTCTTTTCTGGAGGAAATTAAGCACAAGATTTTAAGAGTACTTGCTTACTTTAGGCATAATAGCATATCTGGCATAATAGCATATCTGAAGAGACTTACATCCAGAAAACTGCCTGAGTCTAGAAGTCCAAGTCTAGGGGTTTTATTTTGGTGGTCAGTCGCATAGATGTACCCTGTGCCTAGCGTATATCCAAATTCTAGGCTCCTCGAGGAACAACAGGCAATCAGCTCAAAAAATGACATTGTTTGTTTAGACAATTGAGGCATAGTGAGCCACTTTTAATCAGTTAGGGATAGTTTTCTGTCCATTTAAGAGACTTTATTTAAAAACTTCATTTTGAGATTATTTTCTCTTGTGAACCAAGGTTGTCCTCAGGCTCACAATTCCCTTGCCTCAGTCTCTGAAGAGCCAGCCTTAGGGAACTGTTTATTAATCAGATTTCTAGATGTCAAACTTCATAAGCAGGCCTTTGTAAAGAGAGTGTGTTCTGTGGCTTTTGTATTACAATAGTATCTCTTGTTATTGTGATCTTCTACTTAGTACATGTTGTATAATGCTGTACGTTGTTTTTTTTTTTTTTTTTTTTTGGGTCTGGTCGTGGGGCCTGAACTCTGGGCCTGGGCTCTGTCCCTCAGCTCTTCAGCTCAAGGCTAGCACTCTACCACTTGAGCGACAGCGCCACTTCCGGCTTTTTTCTTTTTGCTTATGTGGTGCTGAGGAATCGAACCCAGGGCCTTGAGCATGCAAGGCAAGCGCTCTACCACTGAGCCACCTTCCCAGCCCAATGCTGTACATTATTGTCCATTGTCCCAGTACTACTGACAGAATGCATATAACATTTTCTTTCTAGTTTAGAATACTTTTTTGATTATATACAGAATAAATTGCTATAGGTATTTAAGAGTATTCTTAGATTTTACTAATTAAAATAATGTTCATAGTTGTACAATAAACATAAATTATGTTGTAGGTTCCTTGTTTCTATACTGATGCAGAAAGACGATCGGTGATGGATGCAACACAGATTGCTGGTCTCAATTGTCTGCGATTAATGAATGAAACTACTGCAGGTAAGAAGGAATTGTGTAACTATTACCTTTTGGTTGTTAAATTTTGAATCTTAAAATCTTGCCATTGTTATTTATTTTGTTTAGAGGAATGCCTTCTTTGCTTAACACCTGTATCATAAGTGTTTTTGGACACTACGTCAAATATAAAAAATTAAGTCCATTAGGATTTTTTTCTGTACCCTCATAGTATTTAACTTAGTTCCTTGTTTGGGAAGGAACACTCTTATTGTCTGTGTGTAGCAATGCTTTGGTTCTTCTTTCTTTCTGAGTTGTGGACTGGTAGGATTAGAGAAATGGGTATCTTAGTACTAGATATTTGGGAATGGCACTAAAATAGAAGAAATTGAAGCAAGTATGTTAAGAGATAAGAGGACTTGGAAAGTCCACCAGAGATGTTAGGAAGCGTGGGTCAACTTTTAACTTTTTTTTTTTTTGGTCGGTTATGGAGCTTGAACTCTGCCCCTGAGCTTTTCAGCACAAGGCGCGGGCTCTACCACTTGAACCACAGTGCCACTTCATTTTCTGGTGGTTAATTGGAGATAAGAATCTCATGGACTTTCTTTTTTTTGGGGGGGGGGTCTGGTCCTGGGGCCTGAACTCTGGGCCTGGGCGCTGTCCCTCAGCTCTTCAGCTCAAGGCTAGCGCTCTACCACTTGAGCCACAGCGCCACTTCCGGCTTTTTTCTTTTTGCTTATGTGGTGCTGAGGAATCAAACCCAGGGCCTCAGGCATGCAAGGCAAGCACTCTACCACTGAGCCACCTTCCCAGCCCTTTTTTTTTTGTCGGTCGTGGGGCTTGAACTCTGGGCCTGGGCACTGTCCCTCAGCTCTGGAGCTCAAGGCGAGTGCTCTACCACTTGAGCCACAGCACTACTTCCGGTTTTCTGGTGGTTTATTGGAGACAGGAGTCTCATGGTCTTTCCTGCCCGGACTGGCTTTGAACGGTGGTCCTCAGATCTCAGTCTCTTGAGTAGCTAGGATTTTAGGTATGACCCACGGCGCCCCACTTAATTTAAAAAAAATTTATTTTTTGTCAGTTGTGGAGCTTGAACTCTGGCCCTGGGCCCTATCCCTGAGCTCTTCTTGCTCAAGGCTAGTGCCCTATCACTTTGAGCCACAGCTCCACTTCAGGTTTTCCCGATGGTTAATTGGAGTCTCATGGACTTTCATGCCTGGATTGGCTTTGAACTGTGATCCTCAGATCTCAGCCTCCGGAGTAGCTAAGATTACAGTCATGAACCACCAGCACCTGGCTCAATTTAACCTTTTGGGGTTAATGTTCTTCATGAATAAATTAGTGCTTACAAAGAATTTTAGTCTATCTAAAACATGGCATGATATAACTATTGACCACATATAAACCTATTTTTTCTACTTAAGTGAATTTTATTGTTTAGATGATGTGTTGAATTAATTTATTTTTTGTATAGTTGCTCTTGCATATGGAATCTATAAGCAAGATCTTCCTGCCTTGGAAGAGAAACCAAGAAATGTAGTTTTTGTAGACATGGGACATTCTGCTTACCAAGTTTCCATCTGTGCATTTAATAGAGGAAAGCTGAAAGTAAGTATACTGTTTTCCAGAAGACTATATTAAGACTATAATGACACATTTTTGAGGGGCTAAAGCTAAAATACTTGGTTGAAAAATTTTATTTGACTAATGAAGTCTTTCTGTGAGCCAACTGAGTTGGAAACTAGGTATTGTAGGGCAGAGTGTAGGGGTTGTGAGCCTCAAGTAATTTATTGCAAGTTGCCATGATGTGAAATAAAGTACATAGACTTTGAGGAAAAGCTATTAACATCCCTGAGTCTTAATTTTCTCATAATATAGATAATACCAGAGAAGCAGTGTTTACCTTTCAGGCTTATGAGGAGGATTCTTTTAATGTATTCCCTTGGTGTGTTTTGCCCTGATGATTGGAAGGATGGTGAAAAGGACTTACTTAGCTTCTTCTTTTTTTTTTTTTTTTTTGTCGGTCGTGGGGCTTGAACTCTGGGCCTGGGCGTTGTCCCTCAGCTCTTCAACTCAAGGCGAGCGCTCTACCACTTGAGCTACAGCGCCACTTACTTAGCTTCTTGATTGACTGGTTCTCTACTACTTTACCCACACCTCCAGCCTGGCATTTTGGTGGTAATTTGGAGATGATATCTCTGGACTTTTTTTGCCTAACTGGCTGCAGACTGCAATCATCTGGATTTCAGTTTCTTGAATAGCTGCCCATTGGCACTTAGAACTTTCCATAATCTTTGGATAGGGCCTCAAATTCTTGCCTGGTGGCCATCCTTTTGGGGCTGATCTCCTCAATCTCAGCCTTCCAAATAGCTGGATTAAGTCATGAACCACTATGGTGGGCCCTGTTTTTAATCTCTTTAGATAGAAAATTCTGGCCATAATTTAAATCCTATGGGTTAGTGACAGATTTTTTTGTGTGCCAGTCCTGGGACTTGAACTTACAGATGAGGCACTGTCACTGAGCTTTTGCTCTAGGCTAACGCTATAGCATTTGAGTTCCAGCTCTACTTCTAGCTTTTTGATAGTTAATTGAAGATAATAGTTTCATGGACTTTTCTGCCCAGTCTGGCTTTGAACTGTGATATTCAGATCTCAGCCTCTTGAGTAGGTAGGATTAACAGGCATGAGCCACCAGCACCTGGCAATAATTCACTTTTAATTTTTAAAATTGACTTATTGGCTGACACCTCAGTTTTCTGAATCTTGTGATTGTCTTTAAAATTAATTGTTAAGAATATTTATTATAGAACATCAAAACTTCAAAAATTCTGTAAAGAAAAGACAGTCTCACTGCTCTTTACCAGTTTGATGTATTTAATTCAAGTTTTTAAAAAAATGGAATTGGAATCACATTTAATTCTGTGTCTTATTTTTCAGCTAATATTAAAAACATTTCTCTTTCTTTCTTCTTTTTTTTTTTTTTTTTTTGTCCCAGGGCTTGAACTTTGGGTCTGGGTGCTGTCCCTCAGCTCTTCAGCTCAAGCCTAGCGCTCTACCACTTGAGCCACAGCCCCACTTCCAAGAAAAGTTCTTAGACATATGAAATTGTTTGAAGAGATTTATTTGCCTACTTGTATTAATAAGTTTAATTAGATCTTAATTTGCTTCTAATTGGAATGTTGAAAACTGAAGCATTCATAGACTTCTGTATTATATAGAACCCAAATTGTGATTAAGAATGATTTGATCCTTCTAATAGTAAACAGATAGTAAACAGTCTGGCTTTCAGTATTATTCACAGCTTTTCTGCAGTGTTAAGACTAGAAGTGAGTACATGATATATTAATGTATTTGATCTTGGATATAGAATTGTTACTGGGAAGTCAGTTGCTATAGTGAGAAAAGGGGTGGGTTTGAAATCCACTTCTACCATGTTAGTAGCTTTGTGACCTATAGATCTCATGTGTTTAGATATGTGGCATACAGTATAAACTAGAACTTAGGATGTCTCTATTACAGTGTAGTCTTAGCAAGGATTATATGATACACATGGCTTTATTCACCCATAATAAATGTACCCCTGATTTTTAAACTCATGACTAAATAGGTGCTATAATAAATTTTAGAATTTATTAGCTGTTATGTTAATTATCCTCTTTTCCCTTCCTAAGGTGTTGGCCACAGCATTTGACACAACACTGGGAGGCAGAAAATTTGATGAGGTGTTAGTAAATCATTTCTGTGAAGAATTTGGGAAGAAGTATAAGCTTGACATAAAGTCTAAAATCCGTGCATTATTACGACTGTCTCAAGAGTGTGAGAAACTCAAGAAGTTGATGAGTGCAAATGCTTCAGATCTCCCTTTAAGCATTGAATGTTTTATGAATGATGTTGATGTATCTGGAACGATGAATAGGTAACCATATTAATATTTTCATGTTGTGGTAAACTGATTTTTTTTTTCCCCCTCATCATCTCTATTTAACAAGTTGTTAAGATTACCATGGTAGTTAATATGATAACTTCATTTCTTTTTCTTTTTTTTCCTTTTTTTGTCAGTTGTGGGGCCTGAACTCTGAGCCTGGGAACTGTCCCTGAGCTCTTCAGCTCAAGGCTAGTGCTCTACCACTTGAGCCACAGCACTCCTTCCTGCTTTTTCTGTGTATGTGGTGCTGAGGAATTGAACCCAGGGCCTCTTGCATGCAAGGCAAGCACTCTACCACTGAGCCACCTTTCTAGCCCCTGATAACTTCATTTCTGAGTGTAAAAATTATAGGCTGTAAAATCTTGGTTTTATGTAAAGATTGAATTTGATTATTTTAGTAATGAAGACTAAGTTTTTTTTGCGAATGCTCCAGAAAGTTGCCTATGCACCCCTTTTCATAAAATGAAGGCATTGTGCTTTAACTGCAGTTAAATTGAATTTAACTAGACATTGGTTAAGAAACTGCTTTTTTTGCCTGGTTCAAGGTCACTGGCAACAGCCAGCCCTCTTTTGCAACACTATAAGAATTCTGGGTAGTTGATATTGAAGGCCATTTTCAGAAACTGTTACAATGTTGCTTGGATGGGGGACTGATATCTTCCTTTGGCTGTGAACTCTGAACTCCACTAGAGTTCAGACACAACTGATGGCGTTTTGGGGGAAGTATGTCAGAGTGATCCTTAAAACATTTCAGATAGCATTTATTATTGAGCAGTATCCAATCTTTTTTTTGGGGGGGGGGGTCACTTTTTTTTATTGTGAAAATACCGTACAGAGGGGTTTACAATTACATGGGCAAGATAATGAGTACATTTCTTATCAAGAATTGTTGCCTCCTCCTTTGTTTCCCCTTCCCATCCCTTCCCATCCCTTCCCAGCTCCCTCCCCTCCCCCAAGTATCCAATCTTTACTTGCCCCCTTCTCAATTCTCATACTTGGAAATGATGACTTTCTCTTAAGTTGTTCCAGTTTTAGTATATATGCTACCAGAGTGAGCACAAGCTTCATTGAGTCTTCAGTGTTCACCACCGATTTTTTTTTTTTTTTTTTTTTGCCAGTCTTGGAGCTTGAACTCAGAGCCTGGGCACTGTCCCTGAGCTTTTTTTTTTTTTTTTTGGTCCGGGTTGTGGGGCCTGAACTCTGGGCCTGAGCACTGTCCCTCAGCTCAAGGCTAGTGCCCTACCACTTGAGCCACAGCGCTATTTCCGGCTTTTTTCTTTTTGCTTATGTGGTGCTGAGGAATGGAACCCAGGGCCTCAGGCATGTAAGGCAAGCGCTCTACCACTGAGCCAACTTCCCAGCCCATCCCTGAGCTTCTTTTGCTTAAGGCTAGAACTCTACAACTTGAGCCACAGCTTCTGGCTTTGTTTGTGTGTGTGTGATTAATTAGAGGTAAGAGTCTCAGACTTTCCTGCCTGGGCTGGTTTTGAATTCCTATCCTCAGATCTTACCCTTCTGAGTAGCTAAGATTACAGGCATGAGCCACTTGCACCTGGCAGATAAAAAAAACAAAAACAAAAACAAAGTACTTTTTTTTTATATTTCATATAAATGGAATTGTGAAATATGTATCTGCTTTTTACATTTGTCTATATCATAGAGTGTATCAGTGAGTACTTTTGTTTTTGACAAGTGATATTTGATTGTATGAATATACCACATTATTCATTCATCGGTTGATTTGAGTTGTTTCTACCTTTCAGCTGTTTTGAATAGTGCTCTGGGTATTTGTGGACAAACATTTGTTTGAATTTTTTTTTTTTTTTTTTTTGGTCATTTATAGGACTTGAATTCTTGGGCCTGAGTGCTGGCCCTGAGCTCTTCAGCTCAAGGTATGCATTCTACCACTTGAGCCATAGTACCACTTCCAATTTTCTGGTGGTTCATTGGAGATAAGAGTCTCACGGACTTTCCTGCCTGGGCTGGCTTTGAACTGCGAGCCTCAGGATTACAGGCGTGAGCCACCAGTGCCCTGCTTGGGTTTTGTTTCTTTCTTCTTCCTTTTTTCCCTAATGGTATTAGGGTTTAAACTTAGGTCTAGGCAAGTGCTCTGCCATTTGAGCCACATACTCAGCCCTTGGTTTTTGTATAAAGACTTAGTCCTCTTTTCCTTTGAAAAGAACTTTAGGGTGAGCCCATTTTGCTGCATCTAATGGACAGTTATTTGACAATTAATGTATAGATATATACTAAATTGAGGATGAACCATGAAAACCATGCTAATAACAGTTGTAAAGGACCAAATACTGTCCGTGAAATATACAGAGTAGGGAAGTCTATAAAGACAAAAGGTGGAGTCGTCGTTGCAGTGTGTGATGTGTGTGAAGGTGGAGTTGGGGAAATAGCCGAGGATAATGGGAAAAAATTATTGTAGGGTGTTGGAAATGCTTTGAGACATTGTGGTGATATTGTTTAACTCTGATACTAAAAGTTATTAACTTGTTCTCTTGGAGTGGGTAAATTCTATAACGCGAATTATTTTCCTCAGGAAACCCTACAACCTCTGCTGCCATCTTTCTCAAATCTCCTTTTTTATGGTTTTAATTGGGAACTCTTTGTTGTTGTTGTTTTCCCAATACTTAAGGATAGAATTTAGGGATAGAATTGAGGAATTTTCTTTCTGTTTTTAATAATTGGGGACATTTTGAAATAATGCATATACCTTTGTGATTAACCTTAACATTGCAAAATATGCCAGTGTCTTGGCAAGGTTTCCTTAGTCTTGATTTGTAGAAGTAACCACTGATGTGATAGTTTTATTTTTTGATCATAGATTGAATTTATTATAGTGACTTCTTTTAAAGGAATCCTACAGTATGTAGTCTCTGTGTGAGATTTCTTTAACTCAAGTAACCTAACACTTTGTGAGAGTCATTTAGTCACATATCATTCCTCAGGTATTTGTGTTGCTGACTGTCACTGTAGGCTTAACTGTTTTCGTCTCTATAAAGCATTAGTTTAAACTCCCAGTGTATACAAGTTCTGATTGCTGTTGGTATTAGCAATCTTTGCCATTCTATTGGGAATATTTTATACTTGATCATTTTTCTTTTTATTGAGATGTAATTTGGAGCAGTTACCCTTAAATGGTATAATTTAGTAATTTTTTAGGATATTCACAGAGCTGTGCAGCCATCATACAGCTCAATTTTAGAGCATTATCCTGCTTCACAAAGAATTCCTAAATGAGCCATCAGGTGATGAGAAGATGTGCGAGAGACTTAAGTACATGTTGTTAACTTTTCAGTTTCTTTCAGAACCCACATAATGTTCTGAATAGGGCAAAACTATGGAGATAGTAAAAGGGTCAGTAGAGTGAAAGGCTCAGTGGTTACCAAGAGTTTGGAAGGGGAGGGAGGGATGAATGGGCAAAGCACAGAGCTTCACAGACAGTGAAAATACTGTAGATCCTAATGCGTTTGTCAAAACCATTAGAGCCTTAGGAGAAACTATACTCAGTATCAGTATCAGTTTATTGCTGATAACAAATGCACCACACTAAGAAAAACACTTGTTAATAGAGGAACTGGACTAGGAGTGAGGAGTGTGTGTGAAAAAGTTCTATTAGCTATTTTCTTTGGTTCTTCCTTACCCCAAACTAGGCAGGGGTACTAATCAATTTTCTGTCTCTGATTTGCCTATCTAGAACATGTAAATGGAATAATAGGTATTTTTTGTTTGTTTGTTTTTTGACTGACTTCTATTTAGTATGTTTTTTTGTGTGTGGTTCGTTCACATGTGACATCTGTCAATTCCTTTTATTTGAATTTATTTCTTTTTGTTACTGAATTGCAGTTCATAAGCATTTGAGTTGAATGCATTTTGGGCTATATGAATAATGTTGCTCTTGAGCATTCATGTTAGGTGTTTTTGCATGAACTTAATATTTTCCATTCTTTTTTTTTTGTTGGTCATGGGGCTTGAACTCTGGGCTTGGGCACTTGCCCTGTGCTCTTCAGCTCAAGGTGAGCGCTCTACCACTTGAGCAACAGCGCCACTTCCGGTTTTCTAGTTGTTTATTGGAGATAACAGTCTCACGGCCTTTTCTTGCCCAGGCTGGCTTTGAACCGAGATCCTCAGATCTCAGCCTCCTGAGTAGCTAGGATTACAGGCGTGAGCCACCGGTGCTAGGCTACATTTTCCATTCTTTTGGTTGCAAATCTATAGTGAAATTACTGAATATTTTGATAACTTTCAGGTTTAACATTTTGAGGATCTGCTAAACTTCATTTTACATTACCCAGGAATGTAGGTGGGGGTCCAAGTTTTCTATATTCATGCCAACACTGTGTTAAAATTAGTCATATACTCCACATAGACATGAATTGTGATCTATCCTATTGTTTCTGTTTATAGAGGCAAATTTCTGGAGATGTGTGATGATCTCTTGGCTCGGGTGGAGCCACCACTTCGCAGTGTCTTAGAACAAGCCAGTAAGTATTTTGTGATGACATTTGTGTATCTCTCAACCTTTGGAGAATATTATTTATTATTCCCCCAATTCATACAGTTCTGCAATATCAGTTTTGTCAGCTTCAGTTCCATGTTATACTTCTTTCCCCTTGGGTACTACTGCTCCCCAAGGCAATCTTATAAGGATGCTAAAAAAATCATTCGGGGGGGCTGGGAAGGTGGCTCAGTGGTAGAGCGCTTGCCTTGTATGCATGAGGCCCTGGGTTCGATTCCTCAGCACCACATAAGGAAAAAGAAAGCCGGAAGTGGCACTGGGGCTCAAGTGGTAGAGCGCTAGCCTTGAGGTGAAAAGCTGAGGGACAGCGCCCAGGCCCAGAGTTAAGGCCCCACGACCTCCCGCCCCCCCCCCCCCCCCCCAAAAAAAAAAAAACAGACTAAAAATCATTCAGGGCCAGGCGCCAATGGCTCCCGCCTGTAATCCTAGTTACTCAGGAGGCTGAGATCTGAGGATCATGGTTCCAAGCCGGCCTGAGCAGGAAAGCCTATAAATTTATCTCCACCAGAAAACTTAAACCATCAAAAAACCTGAAGGGTGCTGTGGCTCAAGTGGTAGCGCACTTGCCTTGAGCTGAAGAGCTGAGGGACAGTGCCCAGACCCAGAGTTCAAGCCCCACACCACCACCACCACCAACAACAACAAAATCATTCAGATACTAACTTCTGAATTATTTGCTTACAGTTCTTTTTTCAGTTGGGTTGTAGTGTGGTCTTGTAATTTTTTTCTGTCTGTGAATCCTTGGTTAGCTGAAAGACAATATACAGCAAAAGGAAGGTATGGTAGACACTTACTTCTTTATTAGGATATTTCAGTTTTGTCTTAAGCTAGAAGGTAGCCTTTTAATTTCAGAATACATTACTTTTCTAACCTTCTTGAACAAAATGTTTTCCTAGAGTATACTGTTGTTGGTTGCCATTGTTTCAATGAGTGTTGAGATATAGCGTTAGCTCAACATAGGCTTGGGCTTTAAAGTTCAAAGTGAGCCGGTGGCTCATGCCTGTAATCCTAGCTACCCAGGAGGCTGAAATCTGAGGATTAAAGTTCAAAGCAGTCTGGGCAGGAAAGTCCATGAAACTCTTTATTTCTAATAAACCACCAGAAAATCAAAGTTGGCACTATGGCTCAAATGGTAAAGCACTTGCTTTGAGCTGAAGAGCTGAGGGACTGCACCCAGGCCCAGAGTTCAAGCCCCACGACCAACAAAAACAAAACGAAACAACAAAAAGCTCAAAGTGATAATGACAGATATTCGTGTTTTCCTGTCCTATGCCCCCATTCTCCTATTTTTTTATCTTTTGCGAAAGAGTCTCAGTACATTCATTGCCCAGAGTCATGTAGAATTCATGGGCTCATGGAATCCTGATGTCTTACCTTCCCGAATAGCTGGAATTACAGGCGCCCACCACTGTGCCTGATTTATCTCCCATTGTTAATTCTTCTCAAGAAATAGAAGTAGTGGTTGATAATGATAAAGTGTGACTAGGAAAACAAGCAGTATTAAGTTTGTATTTAGTGATGAAAAGTGGAGCCTTGGTAATGTACCTCCTTAACTTCTCATGAGTACCTGTGTTTTAATGTGAACTGTATACTATGTATTTTGTGAATAAAATGCTGGAATGTCTAGTGGTAAAACTGAATATTTCTCTTTCTTTCATGGCAGGTCAGGGTTGTGAAAGCCTTCTTTTGGTACAGCATACTTAGATGTTTAGCTAGTTGATGTTTATAATAATTCCTTGTGTAGGACTGTGCCAGTTCTGTATACCATAGGACATAGGTTGTTGGCCTTAAAATCCTATTTCTGTGCCTCCCCTCCCTTCCTATAACTTGAGAATCAAAACACGCACTTCTATGTCTATGCGTATAAAATCTTGGAGTAGGGTATGAGGGATGAAGAGTTAATGAGGAGTTAGTTATATAGTCGGAGTTATTTTGCTGTAAGCTTATTTCTTATCAGTACTAAGGTTTGAATATGCCTCTAGCCCAGATTTTTGGTGGTTATTTTAGAGATAGTCTCGTGGGCATTTCTGTTTGGGCTAGATTGAGATTATGTAGATCTCAGCCTTCTGAGTTCAGCTAGGATGAGAAATGGGAGCCACTAGTACTTAGCATCAAGATTTTTTTAATCTAAATTTCTAATTATGTGTGGGGTTTTTTTTGGTGGTACTAGGGTTTGTACTCAAGGCCTTGGACTTGCTAAGTGCGTATTCTACCACTTGAGCCCATACCCTCAGCTCCTTTTTGTTTTAGTTATTTTTCTAATAATGTCTTACGATTCCCTCTCCATGTCTGCCTTTTGAATAGCTAGGATTACAGGTTTGAGCTATCATCAGGCCCTAAATGTCTAATTATTTAAATATAGAGTTAAAGAAAGAAGACATTTATGCAGTAGAGATTGTTGGTGGTGCCACACGAATCCCTGCAGTGAAAGAGAAGATCAGTAAATTTTTTGGTAAAGAGCTTAGTACAACATTAAATGCTGATGAAGCGGTCACTCGAGGCTGTGCACTGCAGGTAAGTTTTCTTTTGCTCTTATATCATTGCAACAAAAGTTAGACTGACACCATTAAGTCATTAATGTAAATATTTAAAGATTATCCTCAGTGATGGTGTCTTAAAATCATGATGGTAGTGATATTGGTTCATTTAGTGTCCACTTGCAAATGAAATTTGCAAAAATTGTCATTCTAGTGTGCAATCTTATCGCCTGCTTTCAAAGTCAGAGAATTTTCTATCACCGATGTGGTAGCATATCCAATATCGCTGAGATGGAATTCACCAGCTGAAGAAGGATCAAGGTAATACATTTACTTATTATTTGTATACTTAGTTAATTCAGTGTTAAGTCTGAGTAATAAATTGTCCTCCACCGTACACAACTCTGAAATATTTTGGCATAATATATGGCACAGTTATTGTTAGTTAATTTTATTCCCTGATTTCCTATACTTGGTCTTACTGCTATTATGTCTTTTTGTGCTGATTGGGTGTATTTCTTTTTTTACTTAGAGAAGAGAGTATTTTGGGACACTTAAAATCTAGAAATAATGTCATTAGAGAAGACTGAGCTATACAGTAATTACCAAGTCTTAGATGTTTGAATTCTGAATGATTTTTGTCTTTTTCCTCCCTTTAGTGATTGTGAAGTCTTCCCAAAAAATCATGCTGCTCCTTTCTCTAAAGTTCTCACATTTTATAGAAAGGAGCCTTTCACTCTCGAGGCTTATTACAGCTCTCCTCAGGATTTGCCTTATCCAGACCCTGCTATAGGTAAGAAGAGTTAGAAATAAAAAATGATTTGAATTGGAAATTGAAATAATATAATAATAGTAAGACTTTGCATCTACTTGGAGAAATGAATGGGCAGCAATTAAAAATGTGGTATTCTGGGCTGGGAAGGTGGTAGAGCGTTTGCCTTGCATGCCTGAGGCCCTGGGTTCGATTCCTCAGCACCACATAAGCAAAAAGAAAAAAGCCGGAAGTGGCACTATGGCTCAATTGGTAGAGCGCTAGCCTTGAGCTGAAGAGCTGAGGGACAGCGCCCAGGCCCAGAGTTCAGGCCCCACGACCGGACCACCAAAAAAAAAAAATGTGGTATTCTAAAATTTAGGCTTTGTAAGAAAATCTCTTCCATTCTTAACTACCAGGTTCAGAAATAGCGGGATTGTTTCTTAATTGAGCCTCCAACTGTACATGTAGTATTTCTCTGAATGGTTATACTTTGTGCATAAGTTGGTGCTTGATGGTGTGTAGAAGAGTTAAATCAGTTCTGACTTTTAACATATAGTTACAAGGTGCACATACAAAATCATTAGCAGTTTGTTAGGTTAGTGTGTTCTAGGTTTCGAAATCTTTATATGTATAGACTCTGGAATTATTGCCAGATGAGAAGAAGAAAAAACTCTACAGTTGTGTAACAAAAATTGATCTATGCTTTTTGGATAAAGAACTGGAAGTGTTTTCACTGATATGTATAAGCTGTGGAAAAAAAGTTAACCTCTGCTTTCCTGATGGAATAGCATGATAATTCAGTTGCAGCATTGTGGGAATTCAACCTAAATAGAAGCCTGGCATAGTAACAATCTAGAAATGGCAGTTTCTTGGTAATGATAAAAGCAGGTAGATGAGAATATGACATGTCTGTTGCAGGAAGTTTATCATAGCAAATAAAGATGAAATAAGGAACTGGAGGCAAAGGAAATTGGAATATATGAGCCCTTTGTTGGAACAGGATGAGCTTGACTATATGTGAGAAGAATCTGATGATGACTCAGGAACATTCTAGGGATGAATGCTCACTTTGTTCATTTGAGGTGTTGTGTTGCTGATCTGTCACTGAACATCACCTGGCAGTGTGAGCATGTATTCATGTTTGAATTCATCCTCTTACTGTTCTCTTGTATCTCTCATGTCCCTAGCTCAGTTTTCAGTTCAGAAAGTCACTCCCCAGTCTGATGGCTCCAGTTCAAAAGTGAAAGTCAAGGTTCGAGTAAATGTTCATGGCATTTTCAGTGTGTCCAGTGCATCCCTAGTGGAAGTGCACAAGTCTGAGGAAAATGAGGAACCTATGGAAACTGATCAAAATGCAAAGGAGGAAGAGGTAATCTGGTTATTTTATATCATATATATTGGCCTCAAGTGACTTGTCTAGATGTGATAGCAGGTAGACTGTGAGCTGCTGAGAGTAGGTTTATACACGTCTAACTACTCCAGTGTGTTGAGCCATTTTTATAGTTTGTGGAAATTGATTCTTGTTATAGAAGAACACTCTTGTGTCTTTATTTTTTTTTAACAAATAGAATAAATTGCTTATCCATTTGTAGTGATTCATATTACGCTTTTGTTCAAAGCTTAAACTAAGATGGATCTCATATTCAGATTTTGTTTGAAGTGTTCTGATATCAGCATTAACAATGTTCAAAGTACTCGAGTATTCATATAAATTTCAGGTGTTGGGAGCCTTCACCCTCTCCATATTCAATAATGAATTGCTGTTGAGAGAACTCTTCAGTGTGTTCACATTCCTCAATGCATGCAGTGGCTGTACTTTCTAAGGCTGAAAATGCAGGTGTAGGAATTGCTTGGAAAAGTTAAGACTTTGGAAAGAAATTGCTTGTGAGGTAGCTTAGAGAAATTCATGGAGTCTTGAGTTTGTATTTTGTAGATTGTGAACAATGCCGCCCTGGGGTACTCTTGAGTGCTGTAGTTTATACAACAGTTCTCTGGTCACCTTAATATATGTGTGGGGCAACTGTTACCCTCTTCGTACAGATTATATTAGTTGATCTAAGAATGGAAACTTTGTGTTCCAGGTAGTATAGTATATTCCATAGGTGGAATTTGAGCCTAGGTATTCTGAGTGCTGGTACTTGAGCAGGAATTCTATACCATCTGACTTTGTCGGTATGTCATGAAGGCAGTTTAGACTTCTTGCATTTCCCAGGATTTAATTTGACCTGTTTTTCAGAAGATGCAAGTGGACCAGGAAGAACCACATGTGGAAGAGCAACAGCAGCAGACACCAGCAGAAAATAAGGCGGAGTCCGAAGAAATGGAGGTATGAGTTGTTATGATTGAGACTTTTCATATATAGTAGGCCCTGTGGGAATGTATGTGGTTCCAAGAAAATCCTAGTTGGGAAAAACTGAATGCCCTGGGTGCATAGTTAGGTATGTACTAGGGGTATTTGTCCAGCTTCCACCACACTAAAAATAGTCGTCTTTCAACAATTTTTTTTTTTTTTTTTTGTCTGTCATGGGGCTTGAACTCTGGGCCTGGGCACTGTCACTCAGCTCTTACAGGCTAGTGCTCTACCATTTGAGCCACAGCTTCACTTCTGGTTTTCTGGTGGTTTATTGGAGATAAGAGTCTCACACAGCCTTTCTTGCCCGGGCTGGTTTTGAACCATGATCCTCAGATCTCTGCCTCCTGAGTAGCTAGGATTACAGGCATGAGCTACCACACCTGGTAATAATCTACAATTTTTCCTTTATTGGTTAAACTACTACATGATGTCCCCTTTTTGACTTGAAAGGATTGCCATACTTTTGCAGTTGCTTTTTTGGGGAGGATATGTGCACAAAATTTAAAGGGAGGCAAACAAGCATCAGATGACACAATGATAATGTGGGGCTGAGAGCTACATGGCAGCTGAACTGCAGAGCATGTGCGTAAGGATTTAAAACCTTTGAAATTTCTTTTTTCTTTTTAAACCATGCTTGCTCAAAACTGCCTGTAAGAATTTTGCCAATAATGGGGCTGGGAAGGTGGCTTAGTGGTAGAGTGCTTGCCTCACATGCATGAGACCGTGGGTTCGATTCCTCAGCCCCACATAAACAGAAAAAGCTGGAAATGTGCTGTGGCTCAAGTGGTAGCGTGCTTGCCCAGAGTTCAAGCCCTATGACCGACCCTTCCCCCACCCCCCCTTTTTTTTTTGCCAATAAGGCAGTACTGTGCAAGATTTTGGCTGAGCAGGATATGCCTTGGACGGTAGTTGTACTTTATTATTTAGATAATTTTTAGCACAATTCTGTAGTGTATTTGGGAAGGGCATTTTTGTGAGATGTCTTTTCAGTTGTTCTAGATGGTGGATGGGAGGACAGCACTTGGAGGCCTTAGTTGTGCTAGGCTAAGTGAATGGTTCATGCTGCTTTCTTGGTGGCTGTGGCTGAGACACCATCATAGTTTATTTGATACTATTGAGAATTAAGATTTTTTTCTTCAGAGTCTGTCAGCTGCCTTCCTCATGTCTTTTTGTTGAAAGACTGAAAATACTGACTATATTTAAGTAGTTGATACATGCTAAAGTTAATGTGTAACATTTTTTTTGTTTTTTTTTTTTTTTTTTTGCTTATGTGGTGCTGAGGAATCGAACCCAGGGCCTCATGCATGCAAGGCAAGCGCTCTACCACTGAGCTACCTTCCCAGCAATGTGTAACATTTTTGAATATTTTCAACCCTTTTGGGGGCGGGGTAGGCAGTACTAGAACTGAGGCACTTGAACTCAGGGCCTTGTATTTTTATTAGGCTCTACTGTTGAGCCCAACCCCCTACATTAGTTATTTGAGACTGTTCTTCAGTTGCAGAGTATAATCTCAGGCTCTTAAGAATTTCTCATTGTGGTGTTCAACAAAATTGGCAGAGCCTTAAGGTTGCTAAAACATGTTATCCATTTTCATGTCCGCAAACAAGATTTTTACTTGCTTTCCTTTAGCTGGGCAAGTAATATTCAAAAAGAAGAAAGGCTAGGTGCCAGTGGTGAGGATCATGGTTCAAAGCTAATCCAGGCAGGATAGTCCATGAAACTCATGCCTCCATTTATCTACCAAAATGCCAAAAGGGTAGCGTGGTTCAAGTGAGCAACTTGGGCTCTGTGCCCAGGCTGAGTTCAAGCCCAGGAATGGTACCAAAACAAACAAAAAATAGCCATTCAGAAAAGAGTTCTGAGGATTAAGGTTACAAGACAGTGTGAGCAAACAAATCTGTAATACTTTTTTCCAGTAAGCCAACAAAAAGCCAGAACAGGAAGTGTGGTTTGGCTCAAGTAGTAAAGCACCAGCTGAGTGAAAAAGCTGGAGTGCAAGGGCTTAAGTTCAAACCCCAGTACTAGCAAAGAAAAAAAGTTCAAAATACCTGAAAACATGGCTTATCAGTTGAGGGCCTGCCTAGCAAGTTCAAGGCCCTGATATAAATTCTAGCACTGCCAAACCCCATCCCCCAACAAAGAAATGGACTAAAGAGATTGTGCTTGCAGATTCTGTTAGTTGCCTTGGAGTTTTCCAAGATGGAAAACCATTCAACTTGAGAGAGAGTAGGAACTCTGTATAGGTCAGTGTGTATAGGTGAATGAGGAAGAATCACAAGACCTCATGCCCAAGCCCTCTTCGCCATGCTTGGGAGCCATAGAAAGTTTCCTGTCCTGATCTGTGGGGTGGATTAGGAGCAGAAGTGCCTTTCTTAGTTTTGTTTCTAAATGAAATGAGACTGGGCATGGTTGGATACACCAGTAATTCCAACAAGAAGGCTATGGCCTAGACTATACTATAAGTCTAGGCTATACAGTGAGGTTTTCTTTAAAAAATGTAAGTATTTTTTGAGTTAGTGTACAAGGAAAGGCTTGACAAGCATAGAAGAAGTGATGAAAACTTGTAGAGACAGAAATATAAAATTTGAAAAAACTAAGACACAATTAGTTGTGGGGAAAGAAATCACTAAAACCCAAAGAAAACTGCATAGTGTATGAGTAGACACTTTGAAGAATAGAATGTGTAATCAAAAAAAAAAAAAAAAAAGAACCTCGGGAAAGGTAGGGAGGGAGGGGGATTGTAGGGGGAAAACAATGGAGGGGGTAACAATGTTCAAGAGGAAGTGTACTCATTACCTCACTCATGTAACTGTAACCCTCTGTATAGTATCTTTACAATATAAAAAAAATCTTTATTAAAAAAAAAGAATAGAATGTGTAGAAAGGGATAAAGGTCAGTGCCTTCTCATCTGTGCATTTATGTCAGGTAAATGGGATCTCAGTCCTTGTGGAAATGTACATAACTATAGACATTATAGAGATCACACTGTGATACCCTCTCCACACTGATTTCATACACATACCTGTGTTTAGATGAGAAAGGAAGACAAAAGTTTTATGTTTTTCCTGTGCTGGGAATAGCACGCAGGGCATCGGGAGTGCTAGACACCTACTCTGCCTCTGAGTTAAATCTCCAGCCTAAAATTTTTTGTTTTTTGGTTGGTTGTGGAGCTAAAATGCAGGGCCCGGACATACCCTGAGCTTTTGCACTCAAGGCTAACACTCTACCACTTTGAGCTATAGTTCCATTTTTGGTTTTCTGGGGGTTAATTGGACTTTCCTGCCCAGGCTGACTTTGAACTGCAATCTTCAAATTTTAGCCTCTTGAAGGTAGCTAGGATTACAGGTGTGAGCTACCAGCTCCTGGCTCTAAAACGTAAAAATAGTGATTGTGTGTTGGTTGGTTATGGGTTTGCAGGAGTTGCTATGTATATAATGTTATAAAAATTTTAATTGTTGGGGGGGGAGCGTTATGGGGAGGGGGTTGAGATGCGAAGGGGAAACAAAGGAGGAGGCAACAATGCTTGATAAGAAATGTACTCTTTACGCCAGCCTTGAGCTGAAGAGTTGAGGGACAGCACCCAGGCCCAGAGTTCAGGCCCCACGACCGGACCCAAAAAGAAAAAAAATGTACTCTTTACCTTGCCCATGTAATTGTAACCCCTCTGTAGTGTATTTTCACAATAAAAAAATCAAATTAAAAAATTTTTAATTGTGTCAAAATGCATACAACAAAGGTTACATTTTAAAGTATCTGTATATTGGAGTATGATTGATCTTTAGAACTTCATTTTTGCACAATGGAACTTTATACCTGTGAAAGAACTCCCCATTTTCCCCTTTCCCAATCCCTGATAACCACATTTCCATCTCTGAGCTTAACTCTTGCATCCTTTGTATCATATTTATAATCGAGTTAGTATAGTTACGAGTTATTTAGATCATTGGAAACCACAGTAGCTTTTGACATTTGACCCATTTTGAAATTCAAGTTAGCCTATATGTCTTGTTTTTAATGATTGTTTTAAATTTCAGACTTCTCAAGCTGGATCAAAAGACAAAAAGACGGACCAACCACCTCAAGCCAAGAAGGCAAAAGTGAAGACCAGTACTGTGGACCTGCCAATTGAGAATCAGCTATTATGGCAGATAGACCGAGAGATGCTCAACTTGTACATTGAAAATGAGGTTGGTTTTTCAGTGTGTTAGAACAAAATAGTATGATTATAATCAGATTCTTGTCTAGTTGTGTCCATGCATTTTTTTGCTAGTTTGGGCTTTGAGAAAATAATTTAGGTATTTGGGCAATAAGGATAGTATAAGAAATAGATTCTATGGTAAGCCCAAATTCTTTATAGCACTACTAACATTAATGTCTGATTGCCAGAAACCCTGTTGTAAGATGTCTGACAGTATTATTTTTATCTTAGGGATGATGGTGTTCACTAGAGACTTGAGGGTGCTTGAAGTGGGTGGGTCATGGGAGTGGATCAGTAGGAAAAAGAACATTGCATTAATGGTAGCATTATTTGAATTACCTGCTCCATCTCAAAATAATTTTGTTTTACAGGCCTTTAGCATTTACACTGTGAATAAATTCAATTTTTCTTGGTGTTTCAAAATAATACAGCAGAATATATCAGTAGTCTTTCTTTTTTGTATCTTGATTTTTTTTTTTTTTTTTTTTTTTTTTTTTTGGTATCTTGAGTATCAGTTTTTCCTAAACCCACTCAAACTCTCCTTGACCTTTACCATTTGTTGATCAATTAGTCTTCCGGCTTATCTTTATTAGGGGATTCACAGAACTAAAAGGATTCAGGGAAGAATGCTTCTGTACTTTTACGTTACACTGGTTATTTAGTAAGTACTTCAATAGGAAATTGTTGTAGTTGTCTTTACTTATGTTGTTGCTCTTCCTAGGGTAAGATGATCATGCAGGACAAACTAGAGAAGGAGCGTAATGATGCTAAGAACGCCGTGGAAGAATATGTGTACGAAATGAGAGACAAGCTTGGTGGTGAATATGAGAAGTTTGTGAGTGAAGATGTAAGTGTGGCTGCAGTGTAAGCTGTGTCTTCTAGGAGCATCTAGAACTGTGTTAGGGAATTTTAGTCTATGTGTATGTCTTTTTTTTTTTTTTGGGTCCGGTCATGGGGCCTGAACTCTGGGCCTGGGCGCTGTCCCTGCACTCTTCAGCTCAAGGCTAGCACTCTACCACTTGAGCCACAGCACCACTTCTGGCTTTTTTCTTTTTGCTTATGTGGTGCTGAGGAATCAAACCCAGGGCCTCAGGCATGCCAGGCAAGCGCTCTACCACTGAGCCACCTTCCCAGCCCTATGTGTATGTCTTGATGGTTTAAAATGTACTTTACTGGGGGTAGTTTATATGAACTCAAGGCCTTGTGCTTGCTAGGCAATCAATAACACTTGAATCATACCCCTCTCTTCAGCCCTGTAGTTTATTTAGTATCTTTTTTTTGGTAGTATTTCCCATAGGTTAGTTTTAGTGTGTTAGTTTCTTTTTCTTTTTGGGGGTGGTACTGGGGTTTGAACTCAGGGCTTCAGTTTGCTAGACCACTTAATCCATACCTTCAGCCTCCTTTTGGCTTCAGTTAATTTTTAAGTAGAGTTTTGCGTTTTTACCCAGGGCTGGACTTGGACTGCACTTCTCCTTACCCAGGCCTCCTAGATAACAGGGGTGTTGTGCACCACCACAGTTTTACTGATGGAGATGAGGTCTGGCTAATTTGCTTTTGGCCAGTTCTGGGGTTTTACTGATTGAGATGAGGTCTGGCTTTTTTTTTTTTTTTTTGGCCAGTTCTGGGGCTTGAACTCAGGGCTTAGGCGTTATCCTTTGGTGTTTTTTTTGTTTTTTCCCTCCCTCAAGGCTAGCACTCTACCACTTGAGCCACAGAGTCACTTCTGGCTTTTTTCTGTTTAAGTGGTACTTAGCAATCAAATCCACGGTTTCATGCATGCTAGGCAAGCACTCTACCTCTGAAACACACTCCTAACCCCTGGCTAATTTTTTTGACTGTGCTGGTCTCAAACTTCAGTCCTCCAATCTGCCTCCTGGATGGTTTGCATTGTAGGGTAAGCCACTGCCTCTGCCCCATGCATCACTTTATATACCATTTTTTGACATATTTGAGTGCTGTTTATGCGGTTTTTTTTTGTTGTTGTTGTTGCTATGGAACTTGCCAAGCAAGGATTCTACTTAAGCCATGCCTCTAATCCATGTTTTGCTTTAGTCTTAGCTTTCTAGGGTGGCCCGGGATATGATCCTCTTAACACTTCATAGCTGGATGATAGATGTGTGCCACTATGCCCCAGCCTTTGTGTATATGTTTGTGTGTGCATGGTACTGGGGCTTGAACTTAGAGCCTCACACTCCCGTATTTAGGGTTGGCACCTAAGCTACACCTTCACTTCCAGATTTTTGCTGCTTAATTAAGAGATTAGAGTTGCAAAGACTTTTCTGCTTGGGCTAGCTTTTAACTTTGATTTTCAGAGCTCAGCCATCTGAGTAGCTAGGATTATAGGTGTGAGCCACAAGTGCCCCATATGTGCCCAGACCTGTCTGTTGAGATGGGGGGATTCTCTAGAACCTTTTGTCTGGGTTTGCACTGATCTCAATCTCCCCAGTAGCTGGCACAGGTATAAGCCATTAATCCCCAGCTTTTATTGTTTTATTTTTATTGTTTTTTCCTTCCACAATTGGGTTTTGAACTTGGTACTCTACCACTAGGTTACAACTTGAGTCACTGGCATTAACATTTATTTATTTAAACTTTATTTTTGCCAGTCTTGTGGCTTGAACTTGGGGCCTGGGCACTGTCTCTCCTCTGTGCTTAAGGCTAGCTCTTTCTCACTTGAGTCACAGTACCACTTCTGACTGTTTTTGAGTAGTTTATTGGAGATAAGCATCTCACAGACTTCTGCCCAGGCTGGCTTTGAACTGTGATCCTCAGATCTCAGCCTCCTGAATAGCTAAGATTACAGGTTGTGCGCCACCTGTGTCTGACTCTGGCATATAACTGTTTTTTGTTTTTTGTTTTTTTTTTTTTTTGCTGGTCAATGGGCCTGAACTCTGGGCCTGGGTGCTGTCCCTGAGCTCTTCACCTTAAGGCTAGCACTCTACCACTTGAGTCACAGCGCCACTTCGGGCTTTTTCTGCTTATGTGGTGCTGAGAAATCGAACCCAGGGCCTCTTGTGTGCAAGGCAAGCGCTCTACCACTGAGCCACCTTCCCAGCCTGGCTTTTTAACTTTTTTTTTAAATCTTTTTTTTTGGTCAGTCATGGTGCCTGAACTCTGGGCCTGGGAGTTGTCCTTCAGCTCTTCAGCTGTAGACTAGCGCTCTACCACTTGAGCCTCAGCCCCACTTCCAGCTTTTTCTGCTTACGTGGTGCTGAGGAATCAAACCCAGGGCCTCATGAATGCAACGCAAGCACTCTACCACTGAGCCACCTTCCCAGGCCCACTTTTTAACTTTTAACTGGAATTTTTAGTTGTGAAATCTTCAAATGCAATCCAATTTCCTTCTAGCATAAATAATACTATACAAATAACCTGTACCTTGTAAAAAAAAAAAAAATAACACCATTTCCAGCCTTGTTTTTTATATCATCTATTTCTTTGTTACATTAATTTTAAAGCAAATTCCAGAAAAATCGATGCATTCTGTGTATTGTGAATTTTTAGGTTTTGGAGATAGCTGTGTTGTCCAGGCTGGCCTCAAACTTGAGTTCTCCCTGCCTCAGCCTCCTGAATGCTAGGATTACAGGAATGTACCACCTACCAGGTGTCAATTGATTTTTGATCTGTTTACAATGTTTTCTTATCTTTAGGATCGTAACAGTTTTACCTTGAAATTAGAAGATACTGAAAATTGGTTGTATGAAGATGGAGAAGACCAGCCAAAGCAAGTTTATGTAGATAAATTGACAGAGTTAAAAGTAAGTGACTCTTTGAGACTAGAAATACTCCAAACCTTTGTAGTTTTCAAGAAGAGTAGCATACAGCTGAAACAAATTCTCATGTCATGTTAAAAATCACAGGGTAAAATCTGTGATTTAGAGAATACTCTTTATGATATAAGCTCATTGTTATTTTCACTTTTAGAGTCTCATAATAACTACTTGTTTCTCTGTCAATTGGATTTTGATTTCCAGCATTCCACTGAATTAAAAATTTCCTGCATTCTTGGGGTTAGAGATACAAAGAATAGCCATGTGGAATCTGTGACCCTGAAATTCTGTTTGTAGTTGGGGTGGATGGGGCCATGTATGTAGTTTTGATTTGTGATCAAAGAATCCGGTTTTGTATTTGAAGACTATTGTTGACCCTTGAGGGCTTTTGTTTGAAAAGGGATGCAAGTACACAAGGATGTGCATTTCCCTTTAGTCTTGGCCCTGTATTGCTACTGGGTTTGTACCAGACGGCTGTTGAGACTGACCTCTTGAGTGGAGTCACTCAAGGATAGTACTATGTATCTTCCTGGCAAACGTAGTCAGGAGTCCACTCTGAGAGACTTTGGTCACTAGAGGCTTTAGTCACTAGGCCAGTTTGTTTCTTTTAGTGGGGGGGGGGGGGGGGGGGTCCGGTGGTGGAGCCTGAACTCTGGGCCTGGATGCTGTCCCTCAGCTCTTTAGCTCAAGGCTAGCACTCTACCACTTGAGCCACAGTGCCACTTCCGGCTTTTTTCTTTTTGCTTATGTGGTGCTGAGGAATCGAACCCAGGGCCTCAGGCATGCAAGGCAAGTACTCTACCACTGAGCCACCTTCCCAGCCCGTTTGTTTCATTCTTGTTCTGCTTCTCAGACCATCCCCAATTGTTTGAAGCAAATATCTCATGATTTAAGTACTTAGTTAACATTGCAGTGTGTATTTTTAAAGAAAACACAGCTTTATACTGTACCATTATCACACCTTAATGTCACTGTTTTATTCATTTTTCAAGTTCCATTGTTCAGTAAATGGTTATTTTTTAGTTTGCTTGAATCAGGATCCAAATAAAATGCATACATTTATTGATGTGTCCCCTGAACCTGTGTGAGTGGCTTTTCCTTTTCCCTGAGTATTTGAAGAAGTGGTCATTGGTTCCACAGAGTCTTCTTCCAGGCTGTTTTGCTGGTTTTTCATCACCATAGTTGTCTTTAACCTTACCTAGTAAGAGAGGTGGTTAGCTCTAAAGGCTTCATCAGACACATTCAAGTGTTGTTCATTTTTAATTTAAAAAGTTTTTGCCAGATAAACTTTAGTATTGTGTATCTCTGTTTGGAGGGAAGTAAGTTTTGGTCCCCCAGTCGTCGTCGTGGTGTTCTCCCCCCCCCCCCCCCCCCCCGTGTTTTGAGAACTAAGGCTCAGATGACAACTGCTTCAGTCTGGAAGCAGTGTTGAGGCACATACTCTACCCAGCCGGTGGCAGCATTTGATTTCCAGTAGTCTGGGGAGACAATTATTATTATTATTTTATTTTACTGTATTTTTTGGTGCTTGTCCTGGGGCTTGAACTGGTTGTTATCCCTGATTTTTTTTTTTTTTTTTTTTTTTTTTTACTCCAGGCTAGCACTCTACCACTTAAACCACAGCTTCAAGGCTGTTGGCAATGCATGAAGCCCTCTGTTCAATTCCTCAGTACCACATACTGGAAGTTGCACTGTGACTCAGGTGGTAGAGTGTGTTAGCCTTGAGCAAAGGAGGCTCAGGGACAGTGTCCAGGGCCTGAGTTCAAGCCTCAGGACTGGCCAAAAAATAAATACATAAATAAATCAAAGCCATTTCTGGCTTTTTGGGTGGTTAATTGGAGTCAAAGTGTTTCACAGACTTTTTCTTCTCAGGCTGGCCTTGAACCGTGATCCTCAAATCTCAGCCTCTTGAATAACTAAGTTTATAGGTGTGAGCTACCAGTGCTTGGATTTTTGAAACATTTTGAGTTGTGTACATGCACATATGAATTATGGAGATTAGATGTACTTTAGCTCATATCCAGATTTAGTCAGAATAGAAATAGTACAACCCTCAAATGTTTACCCTAGGAAGACTTTATGTATTCTCTCTTTTGTTAAGAATTTAGGCCAACCCATTAAGACACGGTTCCAGGAATCTGAAGAAAGACCAAAATTATTTGAAGAACTAGGCAAACAAATCCAACAGTATATGAAAGTAATCAGCTCTTTCAAAAACAAGGTAAGGGTGTCTTTTGTTTTTGTTTTTGTCATATATTCTTACTCTTAATTTGCAGAGTTAAATTTCATGATATTACCTAGCAGACTTTCTCTTAATGTAATGTGCAATGTTTTTTATGGATGTATCAAGAACCATAGGATTTGCTGTTTCTCTTTAATAGGTGGAATCTAGAATTCTACCTAGAAGTATTGTATAATTTCCCTTTTTTTATTGTAAAATGCTTCTTCTGTATTAGGCAGCATGTTCTGTGCTGGACTTCTTGTGAACATGTTAGGCTTTAAATTTAGGTGGTTTGTTACGCAGATGGAGTACTATCTCAACAGTAAACTACCTAACAAGGATTTTGAGTATTCTATAACATACTCCATAAATATTGACTCCCGTAGTGCCCTTGTAAAGTAGGTGCTAGAGGGCTGGGAAGGTGGCTCAGTGGTAGAGCACTTGCCTTGCATGCTCGAGGCCCTGGGTTCGATTCCTCAGCACCACATAAGAAAAAAGCCGGAAGTGGCGCTGTGGCTCAAGTGGTAGAGTGCTAGCCTTGAGCTGAAGAGCTGAGGGTCAGCGCCCAGGCCCAGAGTTCAGGCCCCACGACCGGACCCCCCCCCCCCCCCCCCAAAAAAAAAAAAAAAAAAAAAAAAGTAGGTGCTAGAGTCACCATATGTGGGTGACTTCCAATGTGAAGAGACCCAAGGTTCTGAGCCAGAACAGCTGGAATTCAGCTCTAGTTTGACTACATAGTGTGGGTTCTGACCTCTCTGTTTTCTACTATATTCTTGTCCCCTCCCTGGCTCCCCAGGGAGTCTGCACAGTCACAGCCTGAGCCCAGCAAACACTCTGCCGCTGAGCTATACCCCTCTCTGCTTTGATAGATTGTCAGTAAATTATGCTTGTGAAAGGCCTCCTTTTAAAAATTGTATTCATTATTGTGTTTGTTCCAGACTAGCATGCCTGTAGTATCTTAGTAACTTGTTACAATGTGACATTATTTTCCTAAGATTTTGTGTAAAAGCTACACCCATTTACACTATTGGAGCTTTTTAATTGTCCCCTTACATCTTTTTCTTGCCCTTAAAATCTGTTTCCTCAGTGTCTGAGAAATTAGGGCCATTCCTTTCTTGAATATTTACTGTCTTCTGCAATGATGAGGCCACACGATCATTCTTGAGCTGTTTGAGAGATGCTGAATAGGTCAGGTAGACATTACCCATGACCACTTGCCTGACCTTGTGCGCTTGCAGGAGGACCAGTACGACCATTTGGATGCTGCCGATGTAGCGAAGGTAGAGAAAAGCACGAACGAGGCAATGGAGTGGATGAACACCAGGCTGAATTTACAGAACAAGCAGAGTCTGACTGTGGATCCTGTTGTCAAGACAAAAGAGATTGAAGCTAAAATTAAGGTAATAGTGAACTGTCATTTCTTGTCAGCATTAGTTTGATCTCTAGTCCTCCAGTGCCCTGTAGGAGACAACTTCATTTAGGTTGGGGGTTGGGATCTGGCCAGAAAGGGTGAATGAAGCCTGTCATTTGTTAAACTTACTAACTGATTAAGAAACTATGGTTTTTCTCTCTTCACATTCTAGGAGCTGACAAGTATTTGTAGTCCTATAGTTTCAAAGCCCAAACCCAAAGTGGAACCTCCGAAAGAGGAGCAGAAAAATGCTGAGCAGAACGGACCAGTGGACGGACAAGAAGACCTCAACCCAGGCTCTCGGGCCACGGAGCAGGGTGCGGACACGGCTGTGCCTTCGGACACGGACAAGAAGCTTCCTGAGATGGACATTGATTGATTGATTGATTCCAACACTTGTTTATATTAAAACAGACTATTATAAAGCTTTAAGTTGTCAACTTTGTTCTAAATATCAACTAGAGCAAGCAAATACTGGAGATTTCTTAGTCAGTTTTTAGGGGATCTTGGGGGGGGCGGGGGATATAGGTAATGTATGGAGCATTTTGACTTCTAAATAGTTAGGTACAGAAATTATAAGTGCATTGTATCTCTTCATAATGGTACTATTTAGAAGCCCAGTTAGTGTTACTGAGCTTACGCTTCACTCCTTTTTTTTTTTTGTTTAATCATGCTTCTAGAAGAATGTTTGTTTTGGAAAGCTGAGCTATAGCAACAGCTATGACTAGCTGCCAAGAAGGCTCTTTTGCATTATTACTTAAATGGCAAGGAGCTCGATTTATGCTTCTAAAATCAATTGTAGAGATTATCACCAAGGTTGTGTGCTTGGTGTGGGCTGGGGTAGGGGCTCCTTCTCTCTCAGGGCCAGAGCTCGGCCTGGAATGTGTTAACGTAGGAGAGGATCCCAGGCATCCTCACGCTTCACCCCCAGCCCTCCCCCTCCCTCCTCCCCTTTGGGAAAGAGCTCCCAGTAAATGCCATGTGCTATTCTTGGAAATACTCTCTTCCCTCAGAGCAAGTTATAAACTTGAGTTTAGACTTGGAGATACTTCTTGAAAGTGTATTCATGAAGACCCCAAGCGTTAAAGCGAGCTTATTTCCTCAGTTCAGATTAAATACTGTCCCATATGGGCATGGCAAGTCTGAGGAAATGGTTGATCCTTGTTCCATTATGGTATAAGGATTTGGATCCCGGCCTGTTTGTTCAGGTGGCAGATGTTCTGTGTAAATTCAGCCCAAACCCCTGGGATAAGAATTAAAAGTTCTTAGGCTCATTCATGGTTACTTTTATGTTTAAGTGTTAATATCTGTCATGAACCTGCCAATTTGTATTTGTTCAACAGCTGACAGATGATGAGAAACCTCAGATACACTGGATTGCATGGGAAGAGTCCTAGATTAGCGTTGGGAACACGGAGCCCGGCATTGCAGCGGCACCACATTTCTTAATATGCAGCCATACGGATCAGGTGTGCCCAAGTGTTCCTCGGTGCCCTTTGGGGGCACAAGGGTAGGGAGGGGTGTTTTGGAAACGTCAAGGAGAGCCTGTATTAAAGGCCAGAGTTGGTTACTTGCCTTAGCAACTGTTACTATAAAATAAGTTTCGTTGGTTATGTTTTGGATCTTTGTAACAACTGGTAATCTGTGTAACAGCGTCTCTGTGAGTACTGGCCTGTGTTGGAAATAAGCTTATACTGTGCATAGCTAGAATGTGTTTTCTGTCCATCCAGGAAGTGTCTAGAATGTTACCGCCCTTAGGCGCTACAGAGACAACTGTGTACAGAGGGGAGAGGCTGCCGGTGGAGGTCTTCTCCCCTCTCCCCCCTCCACGGGACTCGAGCCCTGGGCCTCCAGCATCCTCTTTTTTCCTTTCCTGGGTGTGCTTCAGGAGGGAACTTCAGCTGGCCTGCCTTGAGGCCAGTAGCCCCTCAAAGTGCTGGCTGCGGGATTAAGCCAACTCTTATGCAACTGACTCAGTCCTTAATGGCCATTTCTTCTAAACATTGTGTGTGTGTGTGTGTTGCGGGGAAGGGTTTGGGTGTCGGGATGGGGGTGGATTGGAAAGTTAAAAACTAGAGGAAAAATAAAATGTGGTCTGCTTGCCCTCTGTATAGACAGGCTGTAAGACCAGCTAAATTTCCATGGAGCAGGCCAGAGAATGGGGATTGATAACTTGTGTGCAAACAAGTATTTATCCAGGTTGCGTTATCCAAATTGGTTTGTTAAAACTCCACATTCTTACACTAAAGAAAAATACTCAGTAAACATGAGACAAGTTTAGGAAAAACTAATAAAAGAAACCTGTCTTAAACGCAGAGGAATGATTTTCTTAATTTCCTAATGTGTGTGTGTGTGTGCGCGCGCGCGTGTGTGTGCTTGTGCACATGTTGGAAAAGGGATTGATGGGGGAGTGGAGGGAGAAAAATAAAAACTCCTTGTTGGAGCCCTTGGGTCAGAGTAACAGTGCAGTCATTGCCTCCTGGGACATGAGGCGATATCCCTGGCCCGCACTCCTACTCGGCTGCTCCAATGTAGGAATCCCTGCCTTGCTCCTCAGAGTGTGTGAGCTCCCCATGGGCCTTTCTTTGAAGGTTTGACAGCATCAGAAGGTAGGTGCCAAGGTTGGTATGCCCAAAGCAGGAAGCGGCTACAGCAATTGCTGTCCTGATTGATGAATGGGGTGTGTGAGAGATGGGTGTTTGTGTGAATGCAGGGTTCTTACAAGTGTGGCAAGGGGCAGAAGTCATCAGAAGATAACCTTAATTGCCCCAGGCTCAGGGCCTTGGGGCTCAGTCATGCATCTTACACTCTCTTGGTCTAGCCAGGTATAAGCATGTGTGTGGTGAGCTTGGTTTTCTCCTGTGTCTGTTCTTGGAGTAGGAGCCTAGGCCCAGCCATCCAGAGGTGGGCCAGGGCCCAGATAGCTTCCATGAGTTCTGGGATCGTTTGGCGTGTGACCCTGCACAAGAGGGTGCTGGGAAGGAAACCAAAGCAATTACAAACTTTTCCAATGGGGCCTCTTGGATGGGAAGTGTGTGAAGAATTCTGCTTACATTGGGTTGGTGAGGGTTTGGGCTGTAAGATATAGTAATTGGAGGCTTCTCGGGCACAGCAGTGGTCTTCATAGGGAAGATAGTGGGATATTGGTGCTCTTTAGGAAGTTATTTAGATGTTTTAAAAGGGGAGATTTTTCAGGAATGCCCTTAGGAAGTGTGTAAAGTAAAAGGCTTCCAACAATTGGAGATGTGAAACAAAAACCATCCTTATTTTGCTGTGTATAGTGATGCGTACCTGTGGTCCTGGGCCTGGGCAGAAGGACCCTATCTCAACAAAGAAGCTAGGTATAGTAGCTTACACCAGTAATCCCATTTGCTTGGGATCTTGGTTGGATCTTGGCCTCTACTAGGAAATTGGAGACCCTATCTGAAGAAGCACAAAAAAGGCTGGGGTCCTGGGTTAGGTGATAGAATGTGTGCTTATTGTCTCTTAGGGATTGGTGTAAGGGCTTTGAGCTCAGTAGGCTAAAGGTATCTGAGCTCTTGGCCAGGAAGAGGGAGGGAGGGGAGAGGAGGGAGGTTGGGCAGGGTTCTACAAATGGGGGTGTTTCCCACAGTCATCTGGAGACCTTGGACCTGAGACAGGACCTTGAGTCCTGGAATGCTGTTTTCCTGTGACTTTTTTTTTTGGGGGGGGTGGGAGAGGGGAACAGTTCTGTAACATGTACTTGGCCTTGAACCTGAACTTCATACAAGGCTAGAACTCTAGAGCCCCAACTACTGGCTTTCGGTGGTTAATTGGAGACAAGAGTCGTGTAGATTTTCCTGCTCAGGTTGGCTTTGAACTGTGATCTTCAGGTATCAGCCTCCTGAGAAGGATTATAGGCATGAACCACTGGGTTCTTAGGACATGACTTCTTAAGCATCGGTTACTTCAACAGTAGAAATGTTAAAAAAAAAAAAAAAAAAAAAAGCCCACATAAAGTATGAGCAACACACATGGGAAAATAAACGTCTATTTCTAGGGGATCAGGGGGATGGCAGATGATACTTTGAATTTGCCCAATATCCATGGACAAGTGCCAGGCCCAGTCTTGGCTTTACTGGTCCAGTTTTGGCATGTGCTGGCAAGACAGAAAAAGCAGGACATTCATTCCCTGGGGCTGGCTTTGAGTCAGGAACCTCATCTCAGTCTCCTGAATAGCTAGAATTACTGGCATGAGCCTGGCTTCTCCCCCACCCCCACCCCTTTTCCCAGTCATGGCTCTTGAACTCAAGGTCTGGGCATTAAATTCAAGACCTGGGTGTTGTCCTTGAGTTCTTTTGCTCAAGGCTAGTGTTCTACTATTTTGAGCTTCACTTCTGGTTTTCTGGTGGTTAATTGAACCTAAGAATCTCAAGGATGTTCCTTCCTTGGCTGGCTTTGAACCTTGATCCTCAGATCTCAGCCTCCTAAGTAGCTAGTATTACAGGCATAGAGCCACCAGTACAGGCTGAGTCTGGCATTTTGAATCATTTTATTCAACCCTGCACTTCCTAAATTAGGGAAGGAGCAAGGTGAATGGATTTCATAAAACATGGTAGAGCCAGGAATCCTCATGCCAGCTCATTGAGAAGCATTATTAACCTGGAGAAAGGTGTACTAAATTTGTCTGGAAATAGCATTATAGTTGTGCTTCCTTATTAGTGGGGTATTTACTCCAACTAAATTGTGTGTGTGCACATGATTTTTATTTTTACATCTGTAGTAAATGTATAAATTAGGAACAGTAATTGAGGTCAACAACACTGACTCGGTCAATCTCGTAACCGAAATGGCTACTACAAAATGGGCAGATAGGGTATGACAGACACCCTGGACAGAAGGGATGTCACAGCCCCGCAAGGGACAGCATGAGATTATCATTATGGTATGAGGTGTGTGATTAAAAAATTATGAATTGGGGCTGGGAAGGTGGCTCAGTGGTAGAACGCTTGCCTTGCATGCATGAGGCCCTGCATGATTCCCCAGCACCACATAAGCAAAAAGAAAAAAAGCCAGAAGTGGTGCTGTTTCTCAAGTGGTAGAGCGCTAGCCTTGAGCTGAAGAGTTGAGGGACAGCATCTAGGCCCGGAGTTCAGGCCCCACTTCCGGACCCGAAAAAAAATTATGAATTATTTGTGGAATTTTCAATTTAATGTTTTCAGACAGTGGCTGACTATGGATAACAAATATTGGACAATGAAAATTTCAAGTGGCATTCATACCCCAAGAATCCCAGTCCCTCATAGGCCCCTTTGGTCTTGGGTGACATGCAGTTAGTGTTGATGCTGCCACATGGGGGCGCCGTTGCCCTTTGTCTTAGTAGCTGGGCTGCAGGACCGTGTCAACCCACAGTTGCGACTTGCTGTGGAAGCCATCTACTCGTCTTCGGGAGAGTTAAAGCAAAACTAGTGTGACTTAACAAAGTCCTTTATTCCACTTCAACAGGTTTGAGTGAGGTGGAGAGAGTAAGATTGTGCCACGTGCTGATCGTGGACTGCCTTTTGCTCGGGAATGACAGCGTCTAGAATCTTCTATTTCTCCAGCTCTAGAATTTGGCCTTACCCCAGTGCTGATACCACATGAAATGACAGAAGACAGCATACAAGGAATCAAAGCAGGTTTGTGACTTGCCCTTTGAAGGGGAAAGAACTTGGCTGTCTAGGCATAAGGAAGTCCGTGGTCAGCTTTCAGGATTCTTCCTGTCCTCAGCCAGGCCAGGATCCTGGCTCGGAAACACATGTCCTTAGCCCCCAGGTAGGGAGTACGGGCTTCCTGCTTCTGTAATGACCTCAATCTACTTAGGTCTATTCTTTTTGGTGCAGGTACTGGGGCTTGAACTCAGGACCTGAGCACTGTCCCTTAGCTTTTATTCCTCCTCTCAAACCTGGAGCCACAACTCCACTTTTGGCTTTTTGGTAGTTAACTGGAGAATCTCATGGACTTTCTTGCCCAGGCTGGCTTTGAATCTCACAATCCTCAGATCTCAGCCTTGGGGTAGCTAGGATTACAGGTGTGAGCCACCAGTGCCCAGCCTCCAGTCCCTTTAAAGATGATTGCTTTCTGGCACTACCTTCTTGCAAGTTCTGTCTGGACCAGTTTGTTTCCCAGGTGACCGTAAAATTCAATCAGGAGGGGGCTGGGATGGTGGCTTAGTGGTAGAGTGTTTGCATGCATGAGGCCCTGGGTTTGATTCCTCAGTACCACATACATAGAAAAAGCCAGAAGTAGCTCTGTGGTTCCAGTGGTAGAGTGCTAGCCTTGAGCACAGGAGGCTCAGAGGCAGTGCCCAGGCCCTGACTGGCAAAGCTCCAAGACTGGCAAAAAATAATCAGGAGAAGAAACAAAAGACAGAAGCAGAGAAGCAGGCATAAGGGTGGGAGGAAGCGGCTGAAAGCCCTCCTGAATCTGTGAGCTCCCCACTCCGGAGTACACTGCAAGCACCTGAGACTCCTTACAAGCACAGTTCCTGGTTTCACTTTTAGACTGTCAGTAGATCTGCAGCAGGGTCTAGAATGTGCTAGTTCTAACAGCTTCACAGGTGCTAATGATGCTTTTGTCCTGGGGAAGAGAGACTCTTCCAGCACCAGTTACAAGAGAAACATTTGAGGTTGTGGATTTATATAATAAGCAGCTGTGTGTGTGAGCTGAGCTCAAGGCCTGTGAGTGGGAGGTGGGAAGGGCGGACCCAGCTCTGGGGAATAAATAGAGGGAGGGACTACTACTACTACAACCACTATGCAGCAAGTTCCTTCCAACAGCCAAGGTAAGTGTGGGGTTTCCTTGAGGTTATTTCGGACAGGATTTTGTGTTGATTTGAATGCCACATCTAGCTTGCCCTAGCTCCAGGGGTGATCTGGGTTACAAGAATCTGTCCTGGCTCTGGTCATAGCGTGTGGCGCTTGCCTGCTTCGGGTGTCTGGCTTCCTGCGGCCTCCTGTGCCTCTTCTCCAGCTTCGCTGGATGGGGAAGTCTGGGATGTCTTTGTGTGTCTTTTTCCTGGCCAGGATGGAGGCTTGTCAAAGGTAGAGAAGCATTTTTTTGAGTTGGGAGTTTCTTTTTCTTTGAGTGCGAATCCTGGGCTCTGTCTTGTAAGTTTTTTGCTTTCTCAAGGCCTGTGTCCTCTCTCTTTTTGGTTTTTTATCTCAAGGCTTGCACTTCACCACTTGAACCACAGCTCCACTTCTGGCTTTTTTGGGGGGGGGAGGGGGTATTTATAATGGAGATAAGAGTCTCACGGTCTCTTCTGTCCCTTCTGGCTTCGAACTGGCTTTCTCAGATCTCAGCCTCCTGAAAA